GGGGGGGGGGGGGGCGGGGTGTAGGATTTAGGCGTTACAGGGCTTGGGATTCCATGTTTGTTTTAACTCGGCCTTCCTTGAAATTTTTCTAGAATGGTTGCTGAATCTCGAAGCCATAAGTCCGAAACCCCTAAACCCCAACGCCTTCAAGGCCTCTTCGCCAGCCAGCGACTCCATTTTGTTGGCCCACCTTGGCATCTTCGGAACATCCGAGCATATCCAGTGGGCAGGTGGAGCCAGCCGCACTCTATTGCTTGCAGAGGATTCGTGACCATTTGGCCTCGAAAACTACAAATCGCGCCAGGACCATTTTACCCCATCTTCCTGGACCATCCTGAATCGTGCCAGTACTCGTTAAGCCCCATCCTGAGTCGCGCCAGTACTCGTTAAGCCCTCAACCCTAAATCCTAAAAACCCCTAAACCCTCCCGAATCCCACCAGTTTTTGGCCCTGAAGCCCTGAAGCTCCAAATCCCATACCCGTATAAGCCCTAGCACCCTAAACCCTAAAGCCCCTAAGCCAAAACCCCTAAGCCAAAAGCTCTAAACCCTAAACACGGAAACGCTGAAGCTCCCCCCCGTTAAACGCTGTTTACTGAACAAGGGGGTCCCCTGGCCAGGCCCTGAAGAGCGCCGATGCCGATCGCCAGGCGGCTCACCCGGTTTGGGGGTTAGGATTCAGGAGGGTGTAGCACTTAGGGTTTAGAGTTTCGGGTTTGGGGTTTCGTTTGATGGCGGCAGTTTCTGTATACATGCAAGTATTTGGGTACAGTGCAGGGTTTGGCGGCTTTTTTCCTAGAGAAAAATTGTTGATGTCGGCACCGAGAGGTCTATGGTTTCAACAGCAGCGTCAAAAGCCCATCGCACGCAGGCACAACTTGATCGGCTGGTGGGGGCATTGACGGAGCTGGGCGAAAGCCACAAAGGCAGAAAGGGGACTTTCATTCTTTGGATGTTGCGTTCGTGCCTTCTTCAATACCGAGCCCCGAGCATAAGTGACCATTTAAGCCGCAAATCGACAACTCGAAACCGTGAACCTTAAACCCCTAAACCCCAACCAGGCTCTGGGTTCGTAATTTTGGATTGGGGTTGTTCTACACTTCCTTTCCCAGGATGATTAGGAACACAGTGACGTAAGTATGGAGAGATCCTAACAAGAGAACAAAGCCCAACTTGTTCCCGTGATGGCGACGGGTACTTTGAGCAACCACCGGTTCAGTGCGGGGGTTCAGGGTGTCGTAACAAACAAACGCTGAAGATCGGAGCTTCAATGCACTGACATGTAAGACGTTTTAATCGGATTGGTTTTTCAGATCCCGAAAGAAATTAGATTGCATGGCGTGCCCGGAAACTTGTTCATCTTAATCTAGCAAGCTCATGTCGTGAAGCTAAACAGGGACTTCGGCTAGACATTGCCACTGACTGAGGTTGGAACAGACCGTAGGTATACAAGCGTCTAGAGTCTAGACTCTAGACATTACCACTGACTGAGGTCCTCTACCAAAAGATCATACCAATACACACACACACACACACACACTGATCGAACTACCAAATGCATCCGGAACCACGATTCCTCCCCCCCCTTCATTCCCAATAATGCGCTGAAATCCGAGTCCTAAACCCTCACCCTATAAACCCTCATGAGCCCTCAACTCCTTCACGTCTCGGTGCGATTGTGCACCGCGGCTTCTGTTATCCAGCTTATCAGAAACGCATCCCACCTTAACCCTACATCCCAAACCTCTACACCTTCAACGCTAAACGCTACACCGAAGTCCCAAGCCGAAAGCCATACCCCAAACCACCTCAAACCGTGATCTTAATCATGAAAGACCCCATATATAAAAATATCGTAATCTTTACGGACCCCTTTTTCCAAGGTGCACATTCAAGGAACCGAGTCCTAGTTATCAAAGCCCCTATGGGTAGTTCTCTAAATTAGGGTCCCTGGGGTCCCCAATATAATACGGCACCCTTATAGAAAGGACCCCCCAAAGGGACCCTAACTTAGAAAACTACACTTATATTGGGGGTTTCAGAAAATAGGGGACCCTAATATAATACCCTAAATAGTAGGATCCTTATTATAAGGACCCCCAAAATAAGGTACCCCTTGTTTTCAGAAACTCCCAATATTGCGGCGAGGGATCCCTAAACCCTAAGCCCTAAACCCTAAACCCTAAACCCTAAACCCTAAACCGTGGCGAGGGATCCGGGCTGATGTGGAGAGCTTCCGCAGCGTCGATAGAAGGCTCGCCTCGGCCCGAAGCGTCCTTAATTGGGGTCTACCTTAAGAACCCCAAACCTACTTTTTTGTAGGGCCCCTATAAATCCCATATTAGGTTTATAATAAGAAGCTACAAAAAGGTGGGTGTTGGGTTCTTAAGGTACCCATAGGCCCCATAGTAGTTCCTTTTTTGGGGTTCATATTCAGAATCCTATAAGGTAATCCCAAAAAGGAACTACGATGGGGCCTATCGGTAAGCTTTTGAGGGGTTCATGGCTTAGGGCCTAGGGTTTAGAAAGGACCCTTGCAATAACAGTGAGGGGCTCTAAGATTCCAGAAGGTTTTCTTGAATGCTTCTCAAGAGGGGGTTTATAGGGATTTTTGGTTTAAAGCGACCCAGGAGCTAGGCACTTGGGTTTGGGATGGTAGTTGCTTGTAGTGTAGGGTTTAGGGTTTAGGGTTTAGGGTTTAGGGTGTAGGTCAGGATTTTGCGGAATGTGTTTCCATTCGCAGTTGGACCCTGAGACTTACACCAGCACAGACAGCGCAAAGCATGGACCGCAGGGACGAACCTGCTAGGATCGAGGTGGTTGTTGTCCAGGATGGCGTCCCACATGTGGGATCGATACGGATCGCCCGATTTCTGACTTGGTGCAGGAGGTATGTCGCCCTGGCTGTGGCCCGTTCGACAACTTTGGTTGATGACCATGACGTCTGGGCCATGCATCATTCGTTAGTTCAGTCATCCATGGTTTTGTTTAGGGCTTGGGGTTTATAATGGGGCTTAATTCAAGTTCAGGTATTGGTCGTCACTTGTTTAGTTGGCTTTGTCTTATACGTCCTCTTACTACAAGACATCGCAACTACTCCACATCGAACGAGTGCTTCAAGAGGTATTGTTCCCCACAGCATGAGAACCGCAAACACTGATATTTCACTGCTGCTCTACATCACACAGGCAACTTCCAGATCGAAGGCAGACTTCTCCATCAACCTCTGAAAGCAGCGTCCGTGCTTCTAATGGCCTCTGCTGTAAGAAGCACACCGCCCCAGTTGAACACCCCGAGCTCTCTTATAATTCCCAAATTAAATGAGACTCTGCAATCTGAGATTTTGGTCCATCAACGTCATAGATTTTCGTCATCTGGCTCCCTAAACACCCTGGAAGCCAATCCATCCTAGAACCTGAAACATGCAGGCTCGCCCTAAACGCGAAGCTTCCAAAAGACCTGAGTATCCGGGTTGTTGCGTACACCCCCTCGAACCCCTTTGTCTGCGAAACTGTACACCCGACACACAACTAAGCACGAACACTCGAAATCCCGAAACCTAAAGCAGGCGCAAACCCTCAAGCCCTTATATATAAGCCCAAATAGCCCTAAACCCTGAACCCTAAACCGAAGACCTCAACCCCCAATCCTTAGCACCGAAGGCACGTGGAGGAGGCCCTTAGCCGCATCGACGCCCGGCTCGAGCGCCTTGCTGCGACGGCGGCCCAGAATGCCGAAGGCGTGACCAGAAGTCTAGCTTTGGTTTTAGGAGCTGCTGTATTTTGTTGGTAGGGGTTTTTAGGGCTTAGAGGGCGAACTCGAGTTTCAGTACTGCTTTGGTTTTCTGCCTTAGTTCTAGGAGCTCTTGCATGTTTTACATTTGCTGGGTTTAGCAGTGGAGTTGGGTTGGGGCTTAGGGTTAGAGGCTTGCTGGTTGGGTTTGAAGAAACCAAACAGCCTGCTCAGCCAGACAGTCAAGTTGGGGCCCTGTATGTGGCACTCCAACGAGGCTTAAGTGGGAGGCCAGTTAGAGTTTATGGGAGTTTGGGACTTAGGGTGCAGGATTCACGGTGTAACATTGGAGGGTTTCGGGGCCTGGGGCTTATGGCTTTGGGGTTTTGCTGCGGATGACCTCACCGTCAGGCCAGGCAGACATCAAAGCCTTCGCACGCGAGGCTGCTGAGAAGGTGGGCAGTCCTGTGTAATTACGGAACATGAGGGTTCGGTCTATGGTTACGGTTTAGGGTTTAGCGGTTTAGGGTTTAGGGTTCAGGGGTTAAGGTTTTTGGGTTTTTTTGGTTGAGGGAGGCTTGAGACAGATCGTTTTATTTGGCTCAGAGCAGAGCATCAATCGATGAGAACATAGCACCTTCGGCGATTCGAGGCTAAAGAGCGCTTGCAAGCAAGGCTTCAAGTACCTTTTCGGGGTTAGAAGCAGTAAGGACATGCAGAACCCCCGGATCCTTCATAAGTCCTAAACTCTCTGTAGTAGTAGGCTTTCTTCGAGAGTACTTGTGTTCGGCCGAAGAGCAGTTTGCGGCTTGGGTTCGAGTGCGTGCGGTCTTGCATACGTTTTGCTGGATGATGCGAGCCAAAACGCTTCTCTTCGTGAATGGAGTGAGGCGGTGGGCTCCCGAGTATGCTTGGGGAGGAGCCGGGGGCAAACACGATGACCACGACCGAGAGGCAGAGGAATGCGTCATGTTTGGAAGCGCAGGGAGGAGCAGCACGAAAGGTGGCGGCAGCACAGACACACCCTCCGGCAGAAAGGACCGGCATACAAACAGACTACAGGAGGGACCAGCCCAAACTGTACCGCGACCGACCCGTTGAGGACCAGCACGAGTGCGAGTACAAGGTCGAGGACTCGCAGAGGTGGCGGCGGAGCTCGTTGCTCCCAAGGCAGAAGGCCAAAGGTCGAAGGGCAGGCAGTTTCTACAACCCTTCTGTGAACGACCGCGCAACTAGACCCTGTCTCAAGCCCCACGACACCCCTATATTATATAAACCCTGTGTAATCCCGAACCTCACAGATCATGCTTAGGGCTATATAAGGAAGAGGCCGCATAGGGCGAAGGAGGAAGGACCAAGCAAGCGGCACCATGGACAAAGGACGGTGCCAGAATCTCAGAAGTCTCTCTTTAACTCCCTGCCCAGAGGACAAGCGAAAGCCCATGCAGCCACAGGATCCACGCAAAAAGGTCCAGCAAGATGGTCGTTCTGATTGTCTGAGGCTATAAGAGAGCCTCGGGCATCACCCTACAACCGTTCATGCGGTCGTGCGGTCATGCAGCCGAGATGTTGGACATGGCGGCAACTTTTGCCCGTACCCCAAACTTGCAAGTGCTATGGATATTCTACACGTTAAACTTGCATTTCGCCTACACCGTAATCTCTTTCAATCCTCGAACCCGAAACTCCAAACCCAAAGCCC